GCAAGCTGGGGTCTGGCTAGCTGAGCTCTCCTGACTTCAGGCCTTCATAAGAACAGATTTCAAATATATCCTGAGTTGTCAGAATGGTTCACTTTCCCTCCCTCTGCCAGAAGCACAGGGAATTTTTCTGATACTCACTGTTGGGACCTGGTAGAGCTTTTGCAGGTACAATTTACAGAAGTGTGAGGCCCCTGATGACTGGGTCTGGAGTTTTCTGCTCTCAGACTTGTCCACACTGAGCCTCCAGCTGGTCAAGTACAGTTCGGGTTTGTTGACTCTGGCCCTGGTTCCTGTGGCGGTTTCTGCTCTGGCTAGGGGTGGATCTTTCTGTTGGCCTGTCTCTCCAATGTTAGGGGTGGTGGTTTGCTCTGTGACCTTGCATCTCTTACAGATTTAAAAATAGCTGATTTTTCAGTTTGTTCAGCTTTTACTTGTTAGGATGGAGTGGTAACTTCTAAGCTCCTTAGAAAACATATGTAAGTGAACAAACCATACCAGACAGAACTAAGAGCAGAAGAGCCTAAGAATGTGGAAATTGTTCAACAATAGATCTGTCGTGTGATTTGACTTCCTTTGCTCTATGTCAAATGATTCTTGCTGGTCAGAGAACAAATCTTGTCTTTATTTCTCACTGAGTGCCCTAACGATTCATTAGATTCTGGTGGAGGTAGATGGTGTGGCTTTGACGTGGAAGTTTAATGAGCTGGCCTCTTGTTAGCCACGTTTTACCTCACGTGGCAGAGGCTGGCCTGCTGCTGTGTTGTGAGTCACATTAGCTTCATCATCGCTGTCTTCTGGAATTACTTCTCCGCTGGTATAAAACCCTCTTGCTGATACAGGCTTATCCCTTGCTTTTCTAAAGTAACCTTATTTTCTGACGATTTACGATTGCCATTGATTTCCTCGGTGTTGGGTAGGTTGTGTGTTCTTAGCGGGAATCCTCCGTGATGGCGTTGTAACTAAGCGCGCCTGAGGGTCCCCTCATTGCTGATGTCAGCGTGGACTAGGTGAAGCCAGTGTCCATCAAGGTTCTCCACGGGGAAGTTCCTTTCCCTTTCCTCTTAACTAGTAAGAAACGTGTGAAGAGTTACGTTTAGACCACGAAAATCCCATTTTTCCTCAAACTTTCACTCAATGTTTTTAGTAAGTCTTCGTGATTCCTGCCTGCGTGGGTGTGACTGTCATGCCACGCAGTGGGGCTCCCCGGGGTGGGTTTCACTGTCGGGAGGCGTGTCCCCTCCTCTGCTGTTGATTCGCCGCCACGGTGCCCGAGGTGCATCCCCTCCTCCGCCGTTCACTCCCCACCACGGTGCCCCAGGCCTTCTTGTTTCACTTGTTGGTCTGTGGTCCATTCTTGCTGGGTTTATTTCGATCTTCTCATTGTCCCAGACCTCAGACTTGGCGAGCAGGAGCCTCCTTAGCTGGCTTCTGTCCCCTGGCACCTCCCCAGCCTGTCACTTTCTGGATCCACAGTGTGTCCAGGCTCACCTGCTTTTCCTGCCCTCTTGCGGGGTCAGCTGCTCTTCCTGGCACCTATCCTTGGTGTTTAGAAACTTGGATGGGAGTGCCACTGCGGAGTCACTGTGCGCAGGTGCTTTCAGTGGACGGGATGAGTACCGTGTGTGTGTGAATGCGCACGCGTGAGAGTGTGTACATGTGAGTGTGTGTATGAATGCACGTGCGTGAGTGTGTACATGTGTGTGAATGCTAGCATGTGAGAGTGTGTGTGAGTGTGCATGTGTCTGTGCGTGTGCATATCAAGCAGTTAGTTCAAACGGGCACCTCTAACTCTGGTGAAATCCGCAGGGCTTTCCTCTGCCTTCCTCACAGTATTTCCATCTTTCCCCCCACTGTGGGAAGGCTGGCTCCCGGTCATAGCGATATTTTTCCCATTCTCTCAGTCCCACAACACACACAAAACAGTGTCAGCGTGGCTACGCCCAGACCATTACAAACAACAGGCCTCGTGGGGAGAACCTAAGCTTGGATTGCAGTTTTTCTGTCTTAGACTGAGGATGTCATCAAATTAGTATGTTTAAAAGTTATTTCAGTTTGTCTTTTTTTTTTTTTGATATGGAGTTTTGCTCTTGTCGCCCAGGCTGGAGTGCAATGGCATGATCTTGGCTCACCACAACCTCCGCCTCATGGGCTCAAGTGATTCTCCTGCCTCAGCCTCCTAAGTAGCTGGGATTACAGGCATGCGCCACCATGCCCAGTTAATTTTGTATTTTTAGTAGAAATGGGGTTTCTCCATGCTGGTCATGCTGGTCTTGAACTCCCAATCTCAGATGATCTGCCTGCCTCAGCCTCCCAAAGTGCTGGGATTACAGGCATGAGCCACCACACCTGGCCAGTTTGTCTATTCTTTCTGTGTGGCTATGAATAGATTGATTTCAAATTTAAGATGTTTTTCCTAATCTTGTTTTCATATTATTTATGATTTTGTAAACATAACAAGGTAGGCTGGGTGCAGTGGCTCATGCCTGTAATCCCAGTGCTTTGGGAGGCCAAGGCAGGAGGATTGCTGGAGGCCAGGAGTTTGAGAGTAAAACCTGGTCTCTAGAAAAAAAAAATTTTTTTTTAATTAGCCAGATATGGTTGTGCATGCATGTTACCCAAGCTACTTGGAAGGTTAGGCAGGAGGATCTCCTGAGCTGGAGTTTGAGGCTGCAGTGAGTTATGACTGTGCGCTGCACTCCAGCTTGGGCAGGGCAGTGAGACCCTATATATATATATATATATGGAAAGGTGCCCTCATTCTCCCCTATCTTTTCCATACTGTAACCGGCCCTTGGCCCCGCCCCGCCCCAGGAATGGCGGAAGAGGCCCTGGAGGTACGGTGGGCTACTTCAAGTAAATATCAGACCCAAAGAGTTTTGCAGAAAAGCGATTTATTAGGCAGAGAGAGAGAAAGAGAAGTAGGGAAAGAGAGACAGCCAGCTCCCACGCTGTCGTGGAGGGGAATCCCAGAGAGGGAAAATCCACACAGGTGAGACGCAGGGGGTCTTTTAATCTGGGAGTTACTCCTGCCCCATTCAAGTTCTTGTCCCATGAAAGGAGTTCCTTCAAACTTCAGCTGGAGTGATTGGTCTTTGATTCTGACATCTGATTGTTCAGCCCATAGCTTTTCGTGGGCTTTCTAAATAAAAGGAGCTCACCCGGGCAGTCCGCCTTCCTGTGGCAATTTAGACAAAGACCTCTAAGCCCCCTGATGGAGACAGATGGAGACGTGAAAGAAGGCAGGTCAGGCATGTCTTGGGAAGTTCCTGCCTTTGAAACCACGCCCCTTGTGGACCTGGGAAGAGAAGTTACACATTCCCTCAATACTGTTCTCACCTACCTCCTGTTGATAGCCAATGTTACTATTTTCTGGTTGTCATGACAGGGTTTTATATGAAACCTGTCTGCGCTGTACACCCTGTGTAGACACGCCATGATTTGGCCTGTCACTCTTCTGTTTTGGGCATTTGAGTTGTTTTCTGTATTACAGGAGGAAAATAATCCAGCGATGAGTGGCCTTGTGGGGACTTAAGTTTGTGCTGCTGGCGGTGCATGTGCAGGGTTTGCTCCTTGAGTGGGATTGCAGGGGGATGGGCCTCATGTGGTGGATGGGCCGCATGCTGTGGATGGGCCGCGTGCTATGGTTGAGCCGCGTGCTGTGGATGGGCCACCACCTGCTGTGGATGGGCCACGTGCTGTGGATGGGCCGCCACGTGCTGTGGATGAGCCGCGTGCTGTGGATGGGCTGCCATGTGCTGTGGATGGGCCGCGTGCTGTGGATGGGCCGCCACGTGCTGTGGATGGGCCGCGTGCTGTGGATGGGCTGCCATGTGCTATGGTTGGGCCGCCGCCTGCTGTGGATGGGCCACGTGCTATGGATGGGCTGCCGCCTGCTGTGGATGGGCCACGTGCTGTGGATGAGCTGCCGTGTGCTGTGGATGGGCTGCCGTGTGCTGTGGATGGGCTGCCATGTGCGTCCCCGCAGACGAGCCGGCGGCTGCTCCAGAGCATGAGGATCTGCTGAGTGGGATATGGTGTCTCAGCGAGGTTCTTATCTTAGGCACTGCTTTTCCGCACATGCATGGGTTTTCCTGAAGTGTGTAAACTTTACATAAGGAAACTTTCAAACACTCCCGAGTGGGAGCTGTGGAGATGTGGGCAGTGCAAACTGAGATCACAGGGGCACAGTCTTGGTGAGGGGGTTTGGATATTTACTGCACAGTTCTCTCAATGTTTTTGCGTACTTGAATATTTTTACTATACAATGTTAGGGAGAAAAGACCTTCAGAAAGACACAAAAGTCAGACCAGGCATGGTGGCTCACGCCTGTAATCCCAGCTACTCGGGAGGCTGAGGTACAAGAATCACTTGAACTGAGGAGGCGGAGGTCACAGTGAGCCAAGATCACACCACAGCACTCCAGCCTGGGCGACGGCACAACTCCATCTCAAAAAAAAAAAGACAGACACAGATTCAATGTGGGGAGATAGAAAGCGCCCGTGGAATGTGCTCCTGCCTCCCTGCAGCGCCCACTGGCTTCTCACCCACACTTCATGTTGGAATTTCGTGACTGCCGTGATGGGTATGAGCATGGGGTCAGGTGTCCCTGGGGCGGTGTCACTGTGTGAGGTTGGGCCAGTGACTTGGCTTCTCTGTGCCACCGTTCCTGCGTCTGTACAATGGGGAAGACAGAGCAGCCGCCTGGTGGGGCCGTGCGGGCTTGCTGAGTCAGCCCGTGTGAAGTGTGCAGAGCGCTGCTACACGTCTCTTCACTCCTTCAGTTACTGCCCTTTTGTTGACCGGCTTCACAAAATATTCCAGCTCTGGCCCTTATACTTGTTAGGAAAATAATTCTTAGCAAGTGTAATTTTCATTTTGATGAAGAGAAGTTCCATTCTCCGCAGTCCTGGCCCACTGGAGGCTCAGGCCGCTGAGTGGGTGGGTGTTAGCTTGTGTGACGGGTCTCCGGTAGACTCACAGAAATGTCCCTCTTGGGCTAGATTAAGATGTTTTACGAGGAACATTTGCACCTGGATGATGAGATCCGCTACATCCTGGACGGCAGCGGGTACTTCGACGTGAGGGACAAGGAGGACAAATGGATCCGGATCTTCATGGAGAAGGGAGACATGATCACGCTCCCCGCGGGGATCTACCACCGCTTCACAGTGGACGAGAAGGTGGGCGCGCTGTGCTTTCCCCCACGTGTGGCCTATGTGCTATCCCTGGCTGTGGAGGAGAAGGTGGGCGCGCTGTGCTTTCCCCCACACCTGGCCCGTGTGCTGTCCCTGGCTGTGGAGGAGAAGGTGGGCGCGC